TCTGGATACGTTCTCGCCCGTTTCATAATTATAGCGTCGCGGTTTCCGAACGAAAGTAAAGGCCGACAAGGAGACGACATGAAATTTTCAATGAATTTGGACGGCGACCAATCGCGCGGCACGCCCGGTGAATACGTCATGACTGTGAACCGTGTTAACTGCCAATTAAATCGAATACTTTATTAAATTGCTAATTCAGTCATTCTTCGAGCGCGAAACCGAAAGATCCGACCTCCGGGAACATAAGCCGAGTTTAATACCGACCGTTAATTACATTAGGTCCAAATTACTTTATCGGGCCGAGCTTCTACCATTTCGATGATCTGTGTTCTGCATTCCGATGGTACAGAAATGTCTCTCTAATTGACGCCCAGATTCCGCAACAAAAATGGACAATTTGGGAAGAGGAGATACGATTATTCGAGCCTTGCGGTCTATTTTTATAGTTATAAAAATTGTCCACATAGAAATTCACACATATTCACAATTCCACATTGTCTTATAAAAATGAGCCGCAAGGCTCCTCTTCCCAAATTATCCATTTTAGTGGACAATTTGAGCGTCAGTAAGGGAGACATTACTGTATTCCGAATTTTGTATCGCAATGAAACATTACTCGGCCCGTCGCGCTGCGATACTATCATCTGAACAATATCGCTATCTTTACAACCGCATGTATTGCACAGATAAAAGGCACGCCATTGTGCTATGCGAGTCGCATAAGTACTTGCTATTGATTCCAGTCCTTAAACCGATTTTTACAGCAGCTCCCCCATTACGCGGAATGGCCTACACACGTTTCGTAGGGCTCCATAATCGTAGAGTTCCGAAACACCGTTCTCCGAATAGCATTTCGATCATTTATTTATCCCGAATATATGCAATTTCCTGAGAGCGTTCGATGCCGGGAAGCTCGGACTTATCGAACGTGTATCGGGGCCTCGGTTAATTACCTTTTTACGTGGCCGTCGTTCTAGAGAGATAGTTGGGAAACGTAATTATAGGAGACACTTCGAGGAATTTTAATTTAGAATCTTATCTCTGGTAACGCAGCGACGCGCTTCAATCGATACACGCCTAACAGGAAAACAACACAAACGAAGAATTTCATTTCGTCGCCCCCGTCTCGGCGACCGACTCTGTCGCTCTAAATGAAAAAACTTGTAGTAAAGAGTGAAATTAGACTATTGCTTGCCGGCGGAACTTAACTCGGAACTTTGCTGGTCACGTTTCATTCTTCTTAATTATGACATGCAGTAAGAACAACTTTTGTTTCGCCCTCCTTCTTTTTTGTCTTTTTTTGTTTTTTTTTAAATCCGCCATGCTTCTCTGACGGAGAACTTTGAAAATTATGTCACGCGCACAGGAGTAAATTGCCACGATGACCATTGTTTGTTGGAAGAACTAATCTTTGAACCTTTTGCTTGCCACGTTTCGTAGCTTCGCAATAATAGCAGGAATTAACACTCGGCCGACGAGGTCTCGGGTCCACTTAGACTCAAACTATAAACATTGTTATTGGTCTGTGTATCTAGTTTCTGACGATCAATTGAAATTTTTAAACATCTCTTTGACGCGAAACAGCTTAAAAATATATATTGAAAACACTTGATAAATAAAATTATAAATGAGTGTTCGAATGTTAAATACTTTTATTATATGCGTTCATTCGCATTTCACATCGAACACAAAATTCTGAACGAAGATTACGTCCGCAGGCGAACTAGCGCCGTAATTATTGTTCAGCGAGGTCGTTATTTACCAAACTTCCTAGCAATAGATTGCGCCGGCTAATACGCTGCATGAATGTCTTTACAGGCACGCAACAAATGCTTCCAGCTGGATTGTAATACCTTTGACTACTCTTCGTATTGATAATTCTAGTCACAAAGTATGTAATCAGAGAAATGGCAGATCCACTGGGCCGGAAATACGTTCCCTTAGGCACACGGCAACCCTCCGCGAGTTCAGAATCATCCCCCTTCCCGTGATTATATTTTGAAACGCGCTGAACGAGCAGTTATAGTCGGCCTTTGTTCGCAGCTTTTAGAGTCTAATGTGCTCGAGAATGCGCTCGACTTATCAGGTGATAAATTTCGCCGAGCGCAGCCGGGCATTGTTTCTTCCTCTATGAAAACGCGATTAAAGATAAGACGTACAATAAATATGTTGGTGGCGGGCAGTTTTAAAATCCGCGAGATACCTTGAACGACACAAACCCGCGAAACTGTTGCAGCAACTTCGAGGAGATAGCGACTTCATAAATCTTGCCCGCTATGCACAGAATCGCTATTATCGGTATTAGCTAATGCGACATGCTATCTGAAATTAGTTCGGTTCGCGAGGATGCGGGACGATAATAACATCGGCAAAGAATAGCCGATATAAATCGGATCGATCGACACGTTAATTTGAATAAGAATGAAACGTCGCGTTGCAAAATAAAACCATCAATTTCCCAAAAATGTCAACCGACGGGGATGAATCATCTTTTAATTCCCGCACGCCGAAAACGGTCCGCGGGAACGTTCGCATAATCTGAAATACCGGGAGCATAAATAAAAATCGGCGACGGACGAGCCCGTTTGAAAACGACAAACGATAACTTCGTGACGGAGCGCGACCGCAACTTCAATTTTTCAAGAAGTGAACCAGCCATCTGTCAAATTGCAGTGCATCCAAAGGAACAAATTTCAGCTTCGCGCAAGCAAACTCCTAAATACACTTAGCCACGAACGCTTTTCTTGCGTGAAATTCTATCTCCTAAACGTAGGCTAATTCCGGGAGAGAATGAATGAATTAGTGACTAACGCGTCGAGCGAAAAATAGGTTCAGTTACTGTGCACGGTAAATAAATTAACGACATTGAAACTAAAAACAAAAATTCAAACAACTAACTTTATTTTCCCGTAATCTTAATTACCGAATACTGATTCGTTTAGTATTTTCTTAAGCATTTTCATAAGTTTTACAGAATATTTTGCGAATTCAGTATCAAAAAATTGAAGTAATTTTTATGGTATTTTAAGAACTTCCATCTTTTACGTGTTTCATAATTTCAACATATAGATAACTGATTGAATTTTAATAAGAAAATTTGATATGGCTTGTGCGACAAATGCAAAGTTAATTATGCTTGAAAATAAACAAAAGATACAGTAAATGGCTACCTCACTGGCTCCGCTATCCTAATAACAGAGCCGTTTATTTTGAAAGTGGCGTAAGTCACTTTGTTTTTAAGTCGATATATTTAAGGGTTTGCGTCTTAACACGTTTAAAAATATGGATGCTAACTTTCGAGAAGATTTACTTGTATTTGTTATCTCAGGATACTGATATTTTTCTCGGTATAAATAATTTCGTATAAACATTAAAAAATCACCACTTTTCATTACGGTAAAGTGACTTATGCCACTTTCAAAATAAACGGCTCA